AGTGGGTGGGGCCTTCTCCCATCAGTGATGAGTTTAAAAAATGTCCTACAGGTTTGCCTACAGCCCCATCTTATAAAAGCATTTTCTCAACTGAAGCTTCCTCCTCTGTTGACTCTAGCTTGTGTCAAGTTGACATGAAACTAGCCAGTACACTGGCCTTTGGCAGCATGTTGGGCTGTGCGGAACAAAGAACTTTCTCTTCTTTAACAATTTGTGGGTGCATCTCACCTCACGTGAGCTCTGCCTGCAAACTCACTTCATTTTCATTCCCTTTTCCCTTATTTTCCATTGCCTGAAATAAGCTGCTGAGGAAGGGAGAGGAATAGCTGAAGGTCTTCAGGATCCCCACCCTACACTCACAAGTCCACAGTCCAGCTCCTTAAACTGTGGGCTGTGACCTCAGAGAGGTTTGCATAAGCGGATGCAGGAGGCGAGCATGGAAAACATGGTAAAATTTCTGAATGCACAATGACCAAAAACTACCTCAAAAACAAACACTTGATGAGGACAGGATGTTCCTGGAAGTGCTCTCCTGTGTTGCACTGGATGATGTCACTGCAGCCTTGGTCCTGACCACCAGTGAGCTCTCTGAACGTCGCCACACCATACACCACCAGTGTGCACCACCCCAAACACCAGGCTCGGAGTCGTGTCTACTGTGTGAAAACAAGCACAGCGTTTTCACTATACACACAGCATTTTCTGCTCTTCTGGGAACAATCGCTTCACTAGGGAAAACAGAGTCTCTTCATAGTTTCAACCATGTACCTCAGCACATTTCAGATTATAATTTTTAGATTATGCTGCTGGATTTTAAAACTTGCTATTTGAGTCACTGACTTGATCTTCATTAAAAAAAAAAAGATTTGAAAGTAAATATTGGGTTAGAAGTGAGGTAGAATGCTCAGTGATTTCTGACACAATTCTGAAAGTACTTCTGCCATTTTATGCTGCTTTCTTATGCAAAGTGGCATTCTAAGCACTAACAATTAAGAAACAAAAGTAGCAACCAATTCTGAAAACTGTTGGGAGAAGCTATGTCCTTCAGCATTAAATATTCAGCCAGAATTCAGTCCTTTATGTAAAGGTAAATAAACACACCCACCTCATTAGCAAATTTGCTTTCCACTTTAACGAATGTTGAAAATCACATCACATAGATTGCAAAGTTTTTTTTGTTTTTTGTTTTTTGTTTTTTTTTTTTCCCCTTGTGAGCTTTTTAAGGGCAGGTCTCATTTTGTACCCCAGGCTACCCTGCACCCCTTGGTGATCCTCCTGCCTCAGCCTCTCAAGTGATGGGATTACAGGAGTGAGCCACCACACCTAGCTCAAGAATTGTTTTGAAATAAATGTCTTTCTGAAATAAAGTAAATATTTGGCTTATATACCAAGTTTATATACCTTATACTCAGGGGTGGTGTAAAATTTGTCCAAAAGAGGTCACAAGTGGGAAAAGAGCAAGACGCCCTGATCTACAGAATCAGCCTGGAATTGGTGTCTGCACTTTGTGACACCATAGACATTGGAGGTGTATTGGTGTAATGGTCTAAAGTAATGACCTAAAGTCTAACCTAAAACTGAACGTCTCTAAGCTTAGACTATGGAAGTCAGCAGCTTCCATACCAGCAGAGTGGAGAGCCAAGAGAGCCAGAGGAAGCCAGGGTAAAGGAGTTCCTGGGGAGGATCTTAGTGGAGGTAGCCTGAGGTAAATGAAATGGTGTCATTTAAGTAAACAGAATGCAGAAAATGTTTCTGCCTGCATTGTGCTAGAATGGCCTCTTTCCCTGCTGGCTAAAGATGCTAGAAGGAAACATGAGCATCGGCTCCCAAAAACCACCCACCACGGGATGGGGGTCATTCTAGTGAAATCAGGTGACACCTGAACACTCACAAGGCCACTTCTGATTTGGCAATTAATTATTTTTTTTACAACTTGGTATTTATTGATACTATAGGAGGAGAAAACTAACATATATTAAAATCTGGAAAGGAAAATGAATGCAGTGTGAACCCCAAATATTTAGGTATGACTAAAGCAGTCTAAATAGATGTCTAAGACTGGGGAAATGTTAGCAGTTTATTTACTGTCTTCTGGCAGTCCAGAGTGCTAGTAATGTGGCACTTTTCCACCTGAGTCCCAGCGTGAGCAAGAGATACACAAACAGATTGTAGGGAAAGATCTGTGTAAAAGTTGGGAGGTTATCTTGCAAATAAAGGAACAGGAGTCTTTCCAAACTGAAGAGGAGAAGGATGAAAAACAAAAAAACAGCCTATTCCCAAAGACCAATGCAGCCCCAGCAGAGGGCATTGAGCTAAATAGACACCACTGGGGGCTCTTCCAGAGGCTTCCCCATGAATGAAGCAACTTGAAGAAAACAGAATTTGTTTTATTCACGCTTCTGTTTGCTTCCCCCCCCCTTCCTAAATTTAATAGCTGTGGACAGAAGGTGGGATGTCGGTTTTCACAGTCTTACCTATCACCACAAAGCTGTCAGCTTGGGAAAGGGGGAATGTGTAGCATAGACTTCAAAACAGACTGCTCGCCGGAAAGCCCTGCTGGCTGTACCTGCGAAGCTGCATTTTCATCTTCACACCATCTCCCCAGAACCACTCCATCAAAATAGGGTTCTCCACACTTGCTCCATCATCCATCTCTCCTGTTTAAAAACTAAACAAATGAAGCTGCTTGAGCCCCTTTCCAACCCACACACTCTAGAGGTTCCTGCTGTACTGGTAACACACTCCAACCTCCTTTCATAGTTGGAAAGCAGTCACAAGCCAGTCCTTGCCCACTTCTCCACTGTCATCTCCACCCAAGACCCTCAACTCCCAATAGCCCTGAAACCTTCTCTTTCCTTTGTAGGAATCAAGTTCCTTCTTGGCCAGTCATAGCGTGACAGGCTGTGTCCTAATACAGGTCCTGCAGCTCCTCAGCAGTATGGATAGCTTTAAGCACCTCTCTGTAGACCCACAGGGCCAGAGATCCTTACTGTTGTCTTTCATGACATAGCATGAGATGAGAGGTTCTCAGGTGAACACTGTCTGGGAAGGAACACTGCACTGTTTCCTTGAACACACAACTGTCCTGAATTGGAAAGTACCATTTTACCTGAGCCACAGACATCATTCAAGAAACAACATTTAAGTGTGTGGGTGCTTTGTCTGTCTGTATGCTGTACAATACCCGCCTGCAGTGCCTGCAAGGCCAAGGGAGACAGTCACATCCCCTGGGACTGGAGTTACAGATGTTTGTCAGCCACCATATGGGTGCTGGGAATTGAACCCAGGTCCTCTGAAAGAACATCCAGTGCTCTTAGCTGCTGAGACTCTTTACTGCCATGCTCTAATATTTTCCCATTGCTAATTTTCTGAAACTTGGGACAAGCCCAGTTCTTACCCTGATCAGTCTTATAACTGAATGTAAAGTAAAACACCACACACAAACACCATACCATCCTATTACCCTCTTCAGTTGTCTCCATATGTTTATATTGGTAAGAAATCTCACATTCATGTCTTTGTACTCTGGAACACCCTGCCTTCTCTATTATCTGCTGCTATAACAGTGCCAGACTGAGGAATTTATAAATGAAGTTATTCCTTATGGTCTGGAGGCTGGAAAGTCTGAGAGCAGGGTGCCGTCTGGCAAGGCCCTTCCTGCTACATCTTAACATGACAGAGGATAGTATCACATAGTGAGAAATAGGGAGCTCGTCAACCCAGTTGTCATCTTCTTATAAAGCCACCAGTGTCACCATGGGGCTACTTAATCTATCTGCCTCCTAAAGGACTCTCCAACTACCTTGGATGTATAGATTTTGGTATTGTGTGGTCAACATACGCTCTTGGGGAGGGGCACAGTTGTAGTAAATTCCTTGGGAAATAAACCTTGTCCCTCCTTGAACCTCCAAAGCTTAGAGAAATACTTTGTACCCGCTAGATGCTATTTATTGACAATATATTCCAAACTTCTCCAAACATTTCTGCCATGCATTTTCCTCACTTTTGCTAACATCTCTTTTTTTTCTGCACTTCTTTTGGTCTTCACTCTACTTACAGCAAGACAAAGAAATGAAAAATAAAGAATATTTTTAAAGGCTATTAATACAGAATCCCACTCAGCCTATGCTATGGCCGTAACAGAAAGCCAAGCAAAGCGCTTCTCACAGGTAAACCCCCTTAGGTTCAGTATCCTTCATTAGTGCAGCTAAAAGGACAGCAGCAAACGAAATTATGGAAGTCGCCTCCCTGTGACCTACAAAGTGCCATGTGCCCTGCCGACACCCACTGGGTCTCCAAAACTTCTACCCACAACAGATTCTGGTACAGACATTAATGTAATTTGGGAACAGCACTTTGGACAAACAGCCCCAGTGTTTCTTATGCAGGTAGTCTGGAAAATGTGAACTCTTCAAGGAAAAGATGAACAGTGAGGGCCTGAGTTGGAGGCATTACCCGTTCAACCAACCAAAACAATAAAAAATAAAAATAAAAAGAGCCAACTAACGAGGGCCTAGAGTGTCTTGTGGAGACTGAAACACCCAACCAAGGACCATGCATGGACTGGACCTAAGCTCTCTTACACAGATGTAGCTGATGAACAGCCCAGCTTCACCTGGGTTTCCTAGTAAGGGGAGCAGGGCCTGTCTCCAACATGGACTCTTGCCTGCTTTTTGATCACTTCCTGGTGGGGCTACCTCGTCAGACCACGGTCCTGACACAATTTGATGAGCTGGGGTGGGTTAGTAGGGGAGGGCTCCCCTTTTTTGAGGAATAGGGGAGGGAAGAAGGAAGAAGGGGAGTTGGAATCAGGAGAAAAGGGAGGAGTCTACGAATGGAAACTGAATAAATTGTTGCAAAAAGGTAACCTTTCAAAACTTGGCTCTGAAACTGACAGGGCCACATTCCATGTCAGCACTCACTGAGGGCTTAAACCTTTTGGTCTTTAGAGGGTAACTTGATTGTAGCCATTAAAAATCTTAATGATACCTATTGTCCTGAAGCAGTTACTATGTTACCAAAGGTGTCACTGGTATTTGCACATGTATCTTATCTTTCAGATTTACAGATGAAATATATAGCTTCGTTTATGTAAATGCAGACAACTATTAAGAACGGACACACGGAATTCAAGCACACCTGTATGCTGTTCAAGTCTGGGTTCTGTGACGCCTATACCTCCCACTAATTACGCTTTAATACAAGTAAAAACCAGTAAGTAACTCTGTATTTGTAAACAAAAGGAAAAGACTTTCTCTTAAATAGTCCTTACTTACAAATAAACTGCATGGGATTTCCTTGCACAGGGAACTTCGACAGAGCATTTACCAATAGCACACCACCAACTTCTAAAGGCCAACCAACCTTTTTTTCTTTTTCTTTTTTGTTTCTGTTTGTTTGTTTTTGTTTTTCGAGACAGGGTTTCTCCTTGTAGCCTTGGCTGTCCTGACTCACTTTGTAGACCAGGCTGGTCTGGAACTCAGAAAGATCTGCCTGCTTCTGCTTCCCCCAAGTGCTGGGATTACAGGCGGGTGCCACCACGTCCTGCTGGCCAACCGTCCTTGGGGTCCTTTTCCATCGGGAACAGTTGCTCTGGCTCACACTCACCTGTCATGAGGAGTTGGCTCACCATTTACGGAATCTCACAGTGACCCCCACGAGGTGCTGAATCTAGAACCACCTCAGGGAGGATGTCCCGACCAGAACCCTATCTTTCCCTTCAATTCTCCTGGATCAGAAACCCTGGGATGTAATTTCTAGAATCATCTTTTAAGTTACCCAGGTGAAAAACGGTGGTTCAGACGTCTGGTTACATCAAAACCAGCATTCTGGGAATGAACGAAGTGGGGACTTGGAGGACTGGGGACGTTGGGAAAGACACACAGCTTGAACGCGGCACACTAAGGTGGAGAAGCTAAGTCCTTGCCGCACCCTGGTTCCAGTTACAGCAATTCAAACTTTTGTTTCCTTAGGCTGCATTTGCTGCTCTTCTACATACGTGCCGGCACTTATTCCCTCAAGTACAGAGGCGAATAATCACCTTCGTGTCTACCTCTTAGGAGTTTCTGTGAGGTTAAGATAATAGCCATTATCTTACAAGGCACCTGGAATATTGTACTTACTGGCTAGGTTACATAGCCCGCTACAAATGTATGCCTGCTTCACTGGAGAGGATTTTCCGGGCCACTGCAATTACAAAATGCACAAGAAACCCATGGTTAGCTTTGAAAGGCCAAGTAGGTCTTAAACTCGGGGTTAGGGTTTAAAATCTTGGTATCTACTATCTTCTTTTTCCAGGTGCCACCTACCTCTGTAAAGAGTCCAGTGAATAGTTACTCACTCTGGGGTAAACTTTCCTAAACTGGCCCGATGGTTGCACTGCACTAGAGACTCATGACAGCGGCAATCAGTACTCTGACAAAAAGCCCCTTCCTCCTCAACTGGTTTCTCAGGCGCTCCAGGGATGGATAACCGCTAGTATACGGAACCCTGGCCGTAGCAAATGGCCCCACCATCAGTAGGTCAAGGAGCGGCGTCATCAGGCCCGGCGGCAAACGACAGCTGCGCCCAGCTGTGCTGAGTGACCGCTTAGATTACCGCTCGACCCGATCCACCAACTAAGAAACAGAAGTACAGAAGCGCCATCCCCGGATCTCCGCGATGCACCCATCGTGGCCCACGAGTTGCTGAGGTTGACCCCGAAGCCTCATCCTCAAGGAGCAAGGGTCAAAGGTGACCCGGAGTGACCCAGCAGGCCCTGGCAGCACCAGAAGGTGAACGACCCTCTCGCCCCATTCCTCCCAGCGGCCAAAAGCCTCCACCAGGCTCGGGACAGCTGCCGGAAGTGTGTCACCCCGCCTGCGGGGATGCCGGGAGTTGTAGTTAGATGGCTCTATCCCTTCCATAATCGTTAAGTCTCATCAAACAAGAAAACACCCTGAAGCTCTGGAGGACGTGGGCTTGGCTTTCTGCGGGGTCTTAAGAGTCCTGGTTTCCCGTCTCCGCAGAACGCGTTCGCGCAGCGCGCAGCCGCAGCCTCGGACTACAAGTTCCAGCGTGCCTTGCGGGTGCGCCCGCCGCGCCCGGCTGTCGTCGTCGGTGCGGGCCGAGTGAATGGAGCTCCGCGCATGAGGCAGCGCCTGGCACGGCCCGCGCAGCGCCAACCGGTACCCCGAGCGTAAGTGCGGACCGCGGCCGCGCGCCTGCGCACTCGCCTTAGCGCGCGGGCAGGCGCCCGACCGTTGGCTCGCTAGCGGGGCGACAGTGCCGGGCGGCCCCGCGCGCCCCGCCGGCCGGTGGTTGCGGGGCCTCCCGCCTGGCGCGGGGCTGCGGGCAGCCGTGGCGGCCGCCGGAGACCGCAAGGGGCGGCGCAGAGGCGGAGCGGGCCGGCCACGAGCCGCGCAGGAAGCGCCGAGCATGCCCCGCGACAACATGGCCTCCCTGATCCAGCGCATCGCCCGCCAGGCTTGTCTCACCTTCCGCGGCGGCGCAACGGGCTCTGATGCCCCCGCGCCCGGCTTCCCGGAGAACCTGAACCAGCTGAAGACCCTGCTGACCCAGGTGCGCGCCGAGGACCTCAACATCGCGCCGCGCAAAGCGCTGCCGCAGCCGCTGCCCCGCAACCTGCCGCCGGTCACCTACATGCACATCTACGAGACCGAGGGCTTCAGCCTGGGCGTGTTCCTGCTCAAGAGCGGCACGTGCATCCCGTTGCACGACCACCCGGGCATGCACGGCATGCTCAAGGTGCTGTACGGCACGGTACGCATCAGCTGCATGGACAAGCTGGAGGCCGGCGCCGGGCCGAGGTCGCCGCCGCCTGAACAGCAGTTCGAGCCGCCGCTGCAGCCCCGGGAGAGGGAGGCCGTGCGGCCGGGCGTGCTGCGCTCCCGGGCCGAGTACACCGAGGCCAGCGGGCCCTGCGTGCTCACGCCGCACCGGGACAACCTGCACCAGATTGATGCGGTGGACGGGCCAGCCGCCTTCCTGGACATCCTGGCCCCGCCCTACGACCCAGAAGACGGCCGGGACTGCCACTATTACCGTGTGCTGGAGCCCATCAGACCGAAGGAGGCTTCCAACTCTGCCTACGACCTTCCCCGAGAAGTGTGGCTCCTGGAGACCCCACAGGCCGATGACTTCTGGTGCGAGGGAGAGCCCTATCCAGGCCCCAAGGTCCTGCCTTGAGGCTCCTGCCGCCCCCAGGAACTGTGGGCCAAAGCTGTGCCCTGCCCTGCGCAAGAAAGGCCTGGCTGCCAGCGACCTACCATAAGGGCTCTTCTCCCTCTACCCCACTCGCCTGATGGATGGATCTACTGGAGTGAGCAGCGCCTCATCTTGGGCAACCATGGGGAGCACGGCCCACTGGAGTACAGCCACCGGGCACGGTTATGGGGCGGGTGGGTGGGAGGCTAGGTTGCTTCCTGGTACTGTCACTGCCACCAAGGCTTTGATTTAAGGGAGTGGGGCAGGGGACCCAAAAGCGCTTCCGTCCTAAAGCCATAAAGAAAATATTTTTGTTTCTCATTACCTACAAAATACACTAAGGTGTTTGAACCCCTTCTCCCCTTGGTGACTTGAAATTTGTTTTCTCCTGCCCGCAGGACCTCTTGCTCCTTAATAGTTTATTACTTATTGTGCATGACCTCGACTTGTTTTTTAGTTCAAGTCATTGGTTTGGTTTAAACACACACACCCAAAAACAAATAGAGTTTCTACAAAAACCATATTGAGTTTCTAAACCGGGCAGTTCTGAAAAGACCTCTTTCCAGCACTTGGGTTCACCCTCATAACCATGGGTGTTGAGGATAATTTCTAACCTCCCCTTGCTTGCTAGCCACATCTGGTGTACTCAGGTAGCCTTTAGTAAGTTCACATCTGTGAACTCCCTGAGGTCAGGCCCTTAGAGCTCCTCCCCCCTGAGTCTCCTGATCTGTCATTTCAATAGATTGTTGTTGGGGAGTCACCTTTACAGACTATTATCCTCAAGTGACTTTTCTTTATGCACCTCAAAGATGATAATAATTATGTGGTTTCTAACCAGAAGGTTCAGAGGAGCTGAATCTGGCATGCTTCCAAATAACTGAATGTGCAGCCTTTGGCCACCTGTTGAATTCCATACTCTATTTACTTCCAGCGTCTTCCTGTGAAAGGAGAGAAGGGTACTCTGATCAGTTTTGTTGTTGCTCTTTTGTTTTGCTTTTTTTCTCTCTCTCCCAGGAACCTGCAGAGGGCTGCAGATCCAGCTGTGTTGCTGGGGGTACTATCCCAGAACTCCCTTGAGAGCCAGTGCTGGCACCTGCCGCCCCTCTCTGAAGAGGTGGAGGGCGTGTAGTACCGTGGGAGGGGCTCCTGGTGTAGGCTGCTTGCCCAGCAGGCAAGAAGCCCTGGGCTCAACCCCCAGCACCGCAGAAACCAAGTGTGGTGCACACCTACAGCTCCAGCATTTAGGAAGTGGAGGCAGGAGGAGCCCTTCAGTGTCTTTCTCGTGACTACATAGTGAATTTAAGAGGAACTTAAATGGCTAGATGAGCCACCGTCGTATAAATGTGTGTGTGCACATACACACACATAGATAATGCATGAAGGGGATAGACAACTGAGAATTTAGCCATCTAAGGGCATCAAGATTGAAGATTAAACCCTTGTGCCAACTCTTGCACCAAACTGCTGTAGTTCTGTCCACGCATTACCGTCTTTACCATGTTTACAGATGTGTTGACACCATAGCTTCTGGCCATGGAGCACGGGTTCTCCTTTTTTACTATTCACAGGCTTCCTTTTTATCGCAGGCCTTTTCATAAAAACAAACTGTAGAAATGAAATGTGCCCAGCTGTCTTCTAAGCCCTCTTGATGGCTTGTGTGGCAATAGAATTCTAATATCTGTAATAAATGGAGACTTAACCATCACGGGTGGCAGGTGTTTGGTGACCTGGTAGGGAAACTGCTTTTGACTCCACGTATCCAGGTTACACAGTCCTAGGCTGAAGGGGTGTTTGCTCACAGTCCAGTTGTTAAAGTATTACAAAAAAAGCAAATTATTGGTCCTTTGGCTTGTGGGGTTTTGTTTCATCTTAATCAAAGTGAAAGCAACAGGACAGTGAAAACCTGTTTTAAACCTAACACAGGTCCAACACCAAGGACTTCCACCAGGGCTGCTAGAGTTCAGGTTTCCCATCGTGGAGTTTAAATGTCCTTGGATCCTTGTGGAACAGTTCTTTGAGCCACTCATTTGAAAATCTAGGTAGGAAGTGATGGTTTTAAACTTGATAATTTTTTTAATAGAATAGTGATGAGTGTGGTTTTCAGCCACATACAGTTTTTGAATTGCAGCAAAGGTTGTTGAGAGTCATATAGCATATTCTAGGGTACTTTAAACTAGCCTGTAGAAACCTATCCTGCAGCGAGGCTAGTAATAAAAATTATCATGAAAGCCTTTATTGCAAAAGAGGAGGGGAAAAGTTAAAGGTTGATTACAAGCAATTTAGAAGGAAAAAAACCTAAGGTGCTTTTCAAAAGAATAACTGAAACTGTTCTGGGCTAAAACAGCAATACTGTGCTCCTCATTAGTTCAGTAAGAACAGTGGAACTGTCGTTTCACTAATACATTGAGTAAATTTATGCTGAAAACAGTGTAACATTTTAATGAGCCTCTCTAGAAAGAATATGCTCATTACTAAGGCAAAATGTGCAGAAAAATCCTTGCACTTCTATGCATAAACTATTAGCTATAACTGCTGCCGTTGTGTTTCCGCATATGTCTACACTATAGATTGTGATCTAGAAACTGGGATTGAAGTTACCGTCTCCTTTCCTTTGGAAAGACCAATGAGCACAATGGTATCAGCACTTTTTTTGATGAGTAATAAATGCAATAAATAACTATAGCTCATGGATGAGAAACTGTCTGATATTTGGATAAGATATTGTCTGTCTAAATACTCTGAAGCTTTTAAATTTCATAATTATTTCAGTGACTACTTCGTTGTAAGTACCTTTTTTTTGTACCTTCCTACTCCTACTCCTGAGAGAATTGATGGGTTTCATACCACATTGCTGCTGGTTAAGTGAAAAGGCCTGCTTTTTAAGTAATGTGTTTTATCAATAGGAGTGAGTTCTTTGACATGAGGAGAGTCCCTCTGTCAAAATGTATACTTTCATCCCCCCCTTGCATTGTCTTGTAGATTCCTTGATCTTGACATCTGGGGAGGACTTTGCCAACTCCTGTTACAAATGAGCCCAGTGCTTTAGTTCTCCTGATCGGCAGAGAAACAATGTATCCCAAGTTCAGACCTCTGCCGTTGCTGTTCAGCATTTACTCCTGTAACTGCAAGCTCAAATTCAAAGTTTATGGTTCCACACAATCCAGATGCTCCAGATGATCATTGGTCCATTGCGCTGAGGTTGCTGCTGTCAAAGAAGGAGATCGTTTGTTAATGGCACCCAGTCTTTAAATGCAGGGGTGTTTTCGTTTCTGAGTAAAATCTGTGTACTTACGGGAAATAAAGGCATGTTTAAAATTATGTGGAAATAATGTTGGTTATTGCAAAGTGGAGAAGGAAAACATTACCTCTGATGATAACTATATTTTAATAGTTGAAAGCTCACAGTTTATTCCATAAGATTGTATTGTACCAAAAGCCAGTAACCTACAGATTTCCAAAGACCTTAGTTTATTAATTTATTAAACTTTAAATTAGTTTGTTTTTTTGAGAGTAGTCTTTGAAACAAGACGACTGAAAACTCATCTGATAGTATTTAATGTCTAATTACATGATTTCGCTGTAACAGAAAAGGCCACTTTAACCTAAAGAAAGGCCTTATTTAACCGAAGGAAAATAGCATGAAAACAAATTAACTCATTCTGAAAAGGGGGAAAACACTCAAGACTTAAGTATTTTCATCTCGTGACCTTGTTGTCTTCCCTTATGGATTTGGTGGTTGTGGTTAGGACTGGCAGGGTTTTACCCATCTCTGCCTACCTGCCCCCGTACACACTGAAGAGTTACAACAGTTGAGAAACAAAATAATTTGCCTTGATCTAATTAGCAATGAGGATATTGAAATTAACTAACCTGGCTTGAGAAAGTTATTTAGGTTTAATCAACTGTGATACAAATCAAACCTCAGAGGCATGAATCCTTAAGGAATCACTCTCCACAAAAAGCGACTGAAACATTTGTAGTTGTGTCCCTTAAAGTGCAGGGAAAGAGACTGAAAGAACCAAACTTATCTGTGCTAGTTTCTTAGGCACGTTTTTTAAGGGTCTTCAAATTTGGCCATGAATGCTTTAAGCTGAGAAAGAAATTTGGTTAAAGATACTGACTGAGCTGCTATGTTAGCATCTGGGGGCAAAGCCACAGGGTGGCCCTGAGCAAACAGGTTTACCAACTCTTACAGCTCTGATGAGGTTTGCCACCACACCAACATGAAACTAATTACATGACTGCTGTCTTTAGCATGAGAGCTCTTTATGTTTTTTAAATGTTTAGTCCTGCGCTTAAAATCATGGCTTAGGTTAATTGAAGATGCTCTAAATTGTTTGGGAAAATGGTTAAGAACTGTACAAAATTTGGGTGTACTAGATCTTTCTCTAATGAAAGTTTTGCAGGAGGGCAAGTATTTGTTTAAAAGTTGCCACAGCGTGGCATTGCTTTATATGCCAATGTTGGATAAACAACAGTAATACTCTTGACAGTTGGCAAGCCTGAGTTCAGTGGGAAATTGCAAGGCAAGGAAAACATCCCACACTCAAGGTTTTGGAACTATTTAGGAGTTCTGGAAAGAAGTTTCTACATCCATGAAATAGGGATGAAGGAAGGAGATTCAGGGGGGAAAAAAGCGCTAGTTGCCTCTGTGAATTGAATCTCAAATCCTAGTGCTGCTTAGGGCCAAAGATCTGATAGCTACTCTAAAATACAAGCCCTTGGTTAGCAGCCATCAGCTTGAGGGACTTCAGCGGGACCAGAAGCAAGGGAAGGAGTTTTCTGCCGAGACAAAGCAGTACTGCACCAGCAGATCATATTACATAAGAAGCAGTGGACATTGCAAGTATTTAGGTCCAGATTTTCAGAGTAACAATGCTAACAGAGACATGATCTGTTGGCTCTGTAAGATAAGTGGGTAGGTCAGATTATTTTGTGTTTAAAAGAAAATACAAAAAGATCCCAGTAAAAGAAACCTTATAGTGTATTATTTTGCAAACCATTACCTGTTATCTTGGGGGAGGCAACTTACCTTTTAATTTTAGGTTACCTTGGAGTTTTACGGCCTGTTGTTCACCTGTCTTACATGCTCTTTTGAGAATCACTTCTAGATCCACCGAAATTGTGACAAATGATCCCTCCAAATATGGGCAATCATGAGAAGCCAGGCATGGAGAGAAATGAGTCCTGGGGTAATTCCTGCAGCCGCCCATTAATGCTGTCAACAGCAGTATCTGAGCAATTTTGATCTGAAGGGATGATAGCTCTTTTTGAAAAAGTTTTCTGTGGTCATACGATTAATCCTGGAACCCAAAAGTCATTTCCAGTGTGACCACACAGCCACACTTTCCACAAAGCTACAACTTGACTGAGCTCCAAGCTATAGTCAGAATTCTAGAAGCAGCTCTGAGGTTGTCGTCTCTGACTAGCCACTTGTTTGTAAGTATTTATTTTCCGGAGCCCACTCAGGAGCAGAGAGGAGCTGTAAGGCTGGTAAGTCAGAAAACCTCACTTTTACACTAATTCAAGGGGGAAATCCCTTAAGACTAGCTATGGCTTATGAATGGAAATGAGAGTGAGCCTTGGTAGCCACAGGCCAGCAAGGAAACACAGAGGGCCTTTGCTCGGCCCCTGGCTTGAGTGGCCTTCTGTTCGTGGTTCTTAGATGTAAATAGTAGTTCCACCCAGCAAGAGCTTCGTAAATGATTTCTGCAGCAAAAAATATTGTTGAAAGTATTTATTTACACCATAGTCATAAACCATCCGTTATCTGAACTCCAGTTAGTGGTTTTATGTTAGAATAGATTGTTTATTTTTTTCCACAACTATTAAGAGCTAATAACCAAACAAATCAGCTGCAGTGACATTATGCACATTCTCTTCTGAAACTTGACTACAAAGGTAACACTTTAAGTCACAAAACAGAGCATACAAAAATATACTTTCTAAAAAAATTCCAAATATTAATAGGCAGAAATATACAGCCATACTTAACCCCAGGGAGTGATTTGTTTTTTTTCCGTAGTAAGGCATCCTGTCTACATGCAGACCCTGTAACACTGCCCACACCACACCAGGCACGGAGGACACGACACGACTGCATGCATCCTATGTACATCCCCCTTTAAATAAGTTAACCTTTGACTCATTTCAAGAGACCATAAATGCTTTACATTTTTTTTTTCCCGAAGGTTCAGAACTTGGAGAACAGTGCACATCAAAAATACACAAAATCTGAATGGATATACACTGGAAAAATAATCTTCGTTTCTCAACAACAACCAAAAAAAAGGAGCAATATTGCTTTGTCCCTCCTATCATTGCACTTCTGTTCTCTGAGTTTTTAGTACATATTGCTTAACGGTTGAGACGGCCAGATACACTTCAATTCGCTGCTCTAGGGTCACAGAATGCCCGCAGCTCAGACCAGGCTCTGCTCGCTGTACAACTCCCCCCCAAGCCCCCCAGTCGGCCCCAAGCCATAAAGTGCAGTGGCAGTTTTGCTTAGTCTTTTTCGCTGTCCTCACTCCAAGGAACCAGCAGCTCCCAACCTAGTAGAGAAGGTCTCAGAACAAGCCTGGCATCCAGGGTCAAAATAAAGGGAAGGCCTAGCAAAACCTCATCAGACATCTCTGGGGCAGGGTCAGACCACAGCCCTCTTGGCCAGAGGCGCTCACCCAGCCCTCCTCTGGCTCCCCATTGCTTGGAGTAGTCAACTCCCCTAAGGAAGTTAAATAGCCTAAGTTTTTGGGCAGGCGTTTTTTTGGGGGGAGAAGGTGGGGCAGGGCTGGGCTCCGTCGAGGTCCTCGTCCACTATCACGAGATGACGGGGAGGAACAGGGAAGGGTGGTAGTGTTGTACAGCTCGAGTGGACGGAGGGCCTGTGGGGCGTGGAGAAACCGGCGTGGAGCTTCGTCTCATGGTGTCCTGGTCCGAGAGGTGCAGGAGGCCAGTGGTCCTCCGAGGGTGCTGTTCCCGCACAGGCTGGCCTGTGAGCCCCCGGGAGGGCCGGAGGCTGAAGACTGCGCAGACACAGACGAAGACGGGGCGCTGCTCTTCCGCTCCTTCTGTCGAAGGTGGATCTTGGTGTGGCGCTTCCTTTCGTCACTCCTGGCAAACTTGCGGCCGCAATAGTCACAGGCAAAGGGCTTCTCCCCGGTGTGGGTGCGGATGTGAGTGGTGAGGTGGTCGCTTCGGCTGAAGTTTCGCATGCAGATGCGACACTGGAAGGGTTTGTGGCCCGTGTGGATTCGGATGTGCCGGGTCAGCTCGTCCGACCGTGAGAACCTCCTGTCACAACCCTCTGCCGGGCACGGGTAGGGCCTCTCGTGCACTGGCGTTTTGCTGGGCCTGTTAGGGTACTTCCGGGGCCGCAGGATGGGCCGCAGGGGCAGGTGGTGCGGGTTGTAGGGGGTAGCAGTCACTGCTGCCGAGCCACTGCCGGGCAGTCGGGGTCCCTCACTGCCTCCACCTGCCCCTGGTCCCGTGACCCCAGCACCGGGGCCCCCCAGAGTAAAATTACGGATGGTAGACAGTGGTGTGAGCGGAGGGGGGACCCGCAGGGAGTCCAGAGGGCAGGGAAACGGCTTTCGATCGGGGCCAGCGGAGCCATGCGGATCTCTCTGGCACGGAGATGGGAAAAATCCAGGATAGTCTGGAATCATAGGAATGAGACCTGGGTCCATGGCTGGCTTGGGGGATGGGTAAGAAGGGGGTGGCTGGTAGGCCAGAGAGGAGGTGGACGTGGTGGGTGGTGACAGGAACGCTGAAGGGTCCTGGTAGAGATCTCCAGCACAGCCCGAATAAGGAGGAGGAGGAGGAGGTGGTGGAGAGTAGAGGTGGTCCAGTTCAGGCTGGGTCTGGGACATGGTACACACGCCCAGGGGTCCTGTGGCCAGTGGGGGAGCAGAGGAGACGCTGGACGAGGCTGTGGTTGACGCTGGAGGGGTGACCCCTTGCAAGATGCCGGCACTCACAATATTGATGATGCCTTCTGGGTAGCAGCTGGCACCAGGGTATTGGGGGTCGATGGAGAATTTGCCCATGTACGTAAAGGTCTGGTTTCTAGGCGCAGAGATGGGAGCAAAGCTACTAGGATATGGGAGATCCAAGGGCCTCTTCTCTCCAGTCATGTCAATGTTGATCATGCCATCTGGGGAGGGAAAGGGCAGGAAAGAGATGCAGTAATGAAAATGCAGGCAAGAACCAATTCTCTCTTTTCTCTCTCTCTCTCTCTCTCTCTCTCTCTCTCTCACACACACACACACACACACACACACACACACAGCCACCCCCATTTCAGGATTCCAACACTATAGGGCTAGCTCAAGCTCCAACAGGTAGGGAAACTGAGGCCTGGAGATAGTAAAAAGTTCTCCAGAGTCTGGGATTCAAAACCAATCTCCAAGAAAGCAGGACGTGCCCCTCCCCCTTCTATCCCCCAGCCATCTGTGACTCTAGTCCCCAATAAAAATATCCAATAATAGCGACAATATCAAACAATTTCCCATCTGCCTCGGACTTCGCTCCCATTCCTTTGCTTTGTGGTCCCACTGCCTGCTGCCGAGGCAATGATACAGACACCACTAAAGAGCCGACCAATCCCAGGCGGTGCAGAGAAGGTGCCAACCGCGGCAGAGGGGAACCCCAGAACGGGTAAGTGGGTGGGTGATGTTCCCGTTGCTAATTCCTGGTGCCATCTCCCCCTCCCTCTCCCGCTGCGCTTCAGCTGACGACTGCCAATGGGTTCCCGGGCTGCGGAGGAAGGAGTCTAGGTTTCCCTTCCATCCCCACATCCTCAGCCATGCCCGACCCCCTCGCGTCCTCTGCCCCAGCCCCAGACCAGAGGCCGAGCTTCGAGGGAGGCGCGGGGGCTGAGGGAGACGACCTCACACGGCCTCGCCAAGGAACCCAGACTCACGCTGGTGCCCGCGCGGGCCTCCCTCTGCAGTCTCGGGGCCGCTTTCCGCTGTGGACTGGCCCTGCTCCCCAGCCTCGCCTCGCTAACCCCATTCACTCCGGGGCGATGCGCAAGTGGGGTGGCGCCTCCCGGCCGCAGCCGAAGCGCCGCGCGCTCCGAGGTGCTCTCCGAGTGGGCTCTGCCCCGAGAGCGCTGCCCGCGCGCTTCCCCGGCGCTCCCCGGCCGCTGAGCTCTCCAGACGCGCGACGCTCTCCCGGACTGCCCAACTTTCCCGGCACTCTAACCCCACTCCAGACGCGCAGGGGCCCGCCGGCGGACCCGCTTCCAGCCGGGAAGCCCCGGAGGGGTGCCGCCTGAACTCTGCGCCCAGCCCAAGCTTGACTTCTCGGTGACCAGGTGCGTCTGCCGGCGCGCACAACGCGGGGCGCCCTGGTCCCTCGTCCCTTCCCGCTCCTCCCGCGCTCACTTCCAGTCTTCGGGGCCGGCGTGGCCGGCGCCGTCCGCCCCAAGCGCCCACTCTCCCCTCCGAGCCCCGCACACCCACCGCCCCACCCACCAGCCCCGAAGAGGACACGCGGCTTACCTCCGGCCACTCCGTTCATCTGGTCGAAGGGGCCTCCCAGTTCACCATTGGGGAAGATGGTCACCGACGAGGCGGCGAGGTCTTCCACAGGGTAGAGGCTGTCAGGCAGCTGGTGCATAAAACCACTGAGAGTTACTGGGATTTTGTCTACGGCCTTGGCGGTCATCATTTGCTCCTCGCACAACCTGGAGACCCAACTCCCTCGCTACCTGGAGTGCCAGAGAAGCCGTTTTTGGAGAGGGGTCTGGCTGAGCCTGGCTCGGTATCTCCTTTGGCCCTCCACACTTAGAAAAAGACCACCACCACCAGCACCACCACACACGCCAAAAGGAAAAAAAAATCTTAACAGCAATAAAACTAGCAAGCAAGTTGTTGGCTTCTTTAAGGAAGAAAAATGACTCTCTGCCACTGATTCTCTCCTGCCTGGGACCCGGCTGTTGGGGAGCCAGGAGCTGCTGGTGTGGTGTTATTATAACAGTCAGTGTGTCCCCTCGCCCAGCTATTAATCAATCGCGGCTCTCTCAGACGGAAAGTGTTAGGCTCCCAGTATTTATGGGCAGGTCTTCAAGACCCGTGACGTCGCTGCCCATATATGGACTGAGGAACAGGGCCGGGCCAGCAGCTTTTGCCGTCACATGGCCAATTTGCATACGGGCTTGGCTCCGCGGGCTCCGCCGAGCTCGCCTCCCACCGTTCGCCAGCGGCGGACAGGGCCCCCCGGTGTGTGTGGGGGGGACCTCCCGGCCCCCGCCTGCAGCCGAGCCTCCGGGCTGCAGAGCTCAGCCCGGGGAGGGTGCGATCGCCGACCCCGGCGAGGTGGCCGCGGGGGAACGCGCGCGGGCCGCCGTGGCAGCTCCGTCTCTTCGGGGCGGGGAGGAATTCCGGTTCCCGGAGACTTTCCAAAAAAGGAGAGGATCCGGTGGCGGCGGCTCCGCCTCCCCGGCCCTTGTTTGGGCGCCATTCCGGAAAATTAAACTTCGGAAAGAAACCGAGCGGAGCCGAGACACTACAGTCAAACCCCTCCTTCACTTTTCTTGGCAGCTCAAAACCGCAAGCAAAAAAAAGTGACTGAAAAAAAAAAAAAGAAGAATAAAGAAAGAAGAAGAAAAAAAAGCTACCGGCATTCACGGAAGCTGACTGCCTTTTTCTGAATTACACGGTGGAAAGTAGTGTCTGGTGATAAGAGTGAATGCGGTCTTGCTTTTTTGGAAAGTCTGTGCTATTTATACAAGAGCGAAAACGGAACAGGTCTGGGCTGTTTGTTTGTTTAAGTATTTTGGGTAACTTGAGGGTAAGGGGTTAGAGGAGAGGATGGAGCCGGGGAGCGGCGGGAGCTTCTGGAGGGAGCCGAGGCGCCCCCTTCCTCTCTGCCCGCGCGCTCCCCGCCCCCCTCCAGCTGCCGCGCGGAGCGGGCGCCCTTCCCGGCGTGTCTGGGCGGTCCGCTGCGTGGGGGCAAGCCAGATGGAGACTTGGACACTCACCCTCTCCGGCGCGCGCTCGCGCACACACACACGCGCGCGCGCACACGCGCACACACACACACACACACACACACACACACACGCACGCTCCACTTCCGCTACACACTCTTCCCTCCCCCGCTGCCCTCTTACACCCCCCGCTCCCACTCCTTACGCTACACACCACACGCCTCCCTCTTGACAGGGCGAGGGCGTGCGCTCGCCTGAGCCAAGAGGCTCCCCAGGCGCCAGACGGGGCACCCTGGCCAGGCTCTGCCCTCACCTTCACAGGCCCCCGCGGCCCCCATCTCTATGTGTACGCTTTCCGGGGCCGCATCCTATCCCCCGCGCCCCAGATCTACCCGGGAGCAGTCTCCCTCTCCCTCGCTTAGAGCCTGCTCAGTGACAACAAATAGCACGGTTTCCGAGTCGCCTGGGAGGGGGTTCCCACACGAACACCCCTAGGCAAATAAATAAATAAATAATAAATAGATAGATAGATAGATAGATAGATAGATAGATAGATAGCGCAAACCCTTCCAGTAGAAACCTTCCTGTTAAATTCCCCCCAAAAAAACTTTTTCAGAGGCCTAAACAGTGGCTCGTGCCGGCTCCTAGGACACTCGGCTCCCACCTCCCCTACGCGCCCAGCCCGCCCCAGACGCGCCCCGGCCGGGTTCCCAAGCCAGAGGCTCCCGGGCCCTGCGTTAGCCTGGGATCTGTGACGCAGGCTGGGAACCTGCCCTGCCCTTCTCAGCTCCAAAATGTGACCAAGAAGGGCTCCGGTCCCCGTCCCGGCTTTTCTCTGGCTGGCCCGGGCTGCTCGGAGCCGCCGGGCTGCCCGGCGGGCAGGAGCCAGGGCGCCACGCCGTGGACGGAGCGCGGCGCTGCAGGCGCTCTCCCGCCCTGCACCTGCGCTGCCCGTGGCCGCCGCGCGCCGGCTGCTGCCCAGCTTGGGGTCCGCTGGTCAGGGGACCCCACCCACCCACCCACCCCAGCGTCCCCCGGAGCTGTCTTGCCTCCCCCCCACGCCCGCCGCGAGAGTTGTGGTCCCGGGATTCGTCCTCCACCCAGACTTCAAACGCCCCAAAGCAAATCTGGGAAAGTTTCTCCATCGCGCTGCGCGCGCTCGCTCTCTCCTGCCAGTTGGGGGAATCGAACGCAAACTGGGGCGAGAGAGAAAGCTCACCGAGGGTGGGACCCCTCGTGGGTGTCCCCCCCGTCTGAAGAGCCCTGCGGGGCCCCGTTTCGAAGCGAGAGAATACGAGGGGAGAGAGGGCAGCGCTCTTACCACGTGCGCCAGCGCGCTCCGCCTGCGCTCCGGCCGGTCCCGCGGCCCCCGCGCCGACCACGGGCAAGACGACGCCTCGGAGGGGAGCCCGACTCTCATCTCCAGCCTGGATGGGGGAGAGAGGGGGTGGAGGGGGGGTCGGGTTATGCAAATAGAGGTCCCGGCGGCGGGGCTCGGGTTACGGTCCCCCCCCTCCAGGCCGGCCCCCAAGGTGAGACTACCCACCCGCGTCTACGCGCGGGCCTGGCGACTGCTGGCGCTCCGCTGCCGTCGGGGCACGTGGGCGGGTGGATTGCAGCGGCAGCCGCCCCTCTCTCCCGGTGCTGCCAACACCCCGCGGGCTGCCACCTCGCGCAGCCCGGAGGGGGAGCTCCCGGGCGGCGGACCGAGCCCGGAGAAGGGAGCCCGCCGAGGGCAGGACGCCCGACCTGGGTGGGGCTGGTGGAGCGCGCGGGAAGCTGGCGGGTGGCCGCTACCAACCTTCGCGCGGGAGGCCAGTGGGGGTAAGAGAAAGGGGTTCGCGCCGTCAAGGAGTCTAGAAAGTGGGGAGGGGGTTCGGGGGAGCCTGTGGAAGCCCAGCCTTCCAGGAACTCTCACCCTCCCTTAAGAACGTCGCTGGACCTAGCTGGGGGGGAGGGCGTGGGGGAGGGGCAGGTGCTAGTAGACGCCAGCTGCCCCAGGCCTCGCAGGCCAGGCTCTGAAGGGTGCCTGGGGCCAGTCCCTCTCCCAGTTCTCCCAGAACATCCTGGGGGGGGGGGGGGGGGCGTCTGTGATAGCTTCCAGTAGTCTTACCTTTACTTTCTTCTTCCCTCCTATCTTCCTCCCTTTCCTTAAAAGAAAAAAAAAAGTGTCTCTGTCTCTCTCTAAGTACAAAAAATCCAAACCCTTAAATAAAGGCAGCTTAGATGAGGGAGCGAAATCCAGAGCACATATTTCAAGCCAGCCACGGGGCGTAGAGGGATGAGTTCAGAAAAGCTAAAAGCACTTGCCCCAAAAGTCCGGCAGCTGGTGATTGGTCCGGCTCAGACCGGCTCCTGGGTCTTCAGAGTCCAAGCCCTCTTGAGCTGGTCGCTGCGTGGGGCTCTCGGGACTGTCAGAAGGTCGGCCGGTTGAGTCCTGAAAGCCTGGCTCAGCCGGTGAGAGACCGCGTCACCTTCATGAATTTCATCTTGCTTTGGCATTTCGGAGGAAAAGTAGAGCCGGACGGGGATGGGGTGGGGGCAAAGCAAGAGAGAGGGGGGCCGTTACAGGTGGACCCCTGCCGGGAGGGGGAGAATTTCACTGTAGAGACTCTGCAGACCTGTGTGATGGAAGGAATGACCAGGCTGGCACAGAACCAGCATATTAATGCTGCTGTCTTAAGAGAACCCAACCCCACAGTATCCTTCCTGGAGGCAAGGAGGGGTAAGAGGAAGGCAGAGGTGTGATTCTGTGCTGAGGAGAGGAGGAGAGGAAGAAGCCTGAGGAGAGACGTGGGAGTGGACTACAAAGGTGAAACCAGGGTCCCGACTTTGAAGCATTCGAACTTTTTGTGTTTGGATAAAAATACAACACGTAGCATTTAAAAAAAAATAAAATGAAGTGTTGTCAAACGGACCGTGTAAATGAAATACTCCAAAACCTATCAGTAGTCGAGAAGAGTAGCTTGCTGCCGGCTTCACATGTGCTGTGAAAAGGGAAGCAAGGAGGCTTCTTGGAGGCAGGCTTGCTCCTGGGGCAGGGGTGAGGTGGCCCATGGGCAGTTTGGAGCTGGCTGGAAGGTCCTGAGAATTACCCTGTGAGGGTGGCACTGGACTTCTTTCCAGTCTTACAGCTCTTGTTCACAGTACTCAGGAGACGCATCAAATCATTTACCACCTGCATTTTGATGTGCAAAGGAACATGTTTGACTACCTTCACGGACTCTGTGATGTCATTTTCGTCCCACCTGTGACTGCTGGTGGAGGCAGAGATACAGATAAGTTAGAATCCCCCTTAATGTAGACACAAGCAAAGACTAGATCTCCAAGTCAGGTGGCCTCCAAGTCAGATCATGTGGCCTTTGAAAGCCAGATGAATGCTAACTGCCAAATCATCTTAAAGGATCCCTGGGTACTAGGGAAACTGGTAAATAGTTCCCTACATCCAGTATCCCAAGACAAATCTGAAAACCTATGGGTTATAAGCCTAGCTCAGGTCATGCCCAACACAGCTGTAAAGACGTGCCATGGGCTTAGATAATACAGTCCAGGAGAAGACCCTTATGGTCACGTTTTGTAGATGGATGTATCAGTGCTGGCTCAAGAGGCTTTAAAAAACACTTCTCAAAGATCCACCCTGTTTCCAGCACGGTACTAAACTCTGGGAATACAATGGTGCCTACAGCCAGGCCCCATCCCCAGCCCCATGGAGTTTGCCTGGTATAGCATGGGAACTCAGCACCACAGTGACTCTGTTCGCTCTCCACAAAACAGACAAAAGAGCCAGTGAAGTTTCATGGCTGCGGACCTCATAAATCACAGATCTGAAGGACATACAAGGATTAGGGGAGGGGCTAAGACCTGTGGAAAGAGTGTTTGGGGAAGAAGGCAGGTGGAGGAAGGCCTCGAGATGGGAGAAAGCAAGGTTTGTGTAGAGAAAGTCCAGTTTGGGCAGGCATTTCTAGGTCAGCTAACACGCGAACATTGGGACTGGGGTAGCCAATACAGAGTACTCTAGAAGGCTCTAATCCTTCACAGTGCTCCTCTTTCTCTTCTGTTATTTTTT